CCACAGACCCAGGACACAAGACGGTCACAAAAAGAAAAAGATCGCAAAAGAAGCCGTTACCGGATGGCGAGCGCGGATTTTACAAGTGGCACACGCTAAAAGGTGGCGTGTTGCTCTGTCCCGTTCGAGCCAGGCACATGACGGGTTTGTCGATCGATATCTGGCACGACTCCTTTTCTCATCTCCTCGCAACCTTGATTCGGTCAATGGGCCTTTCCTTTTTTAATTTTTTGCAGATTCGAGAATGCGCAATGGCCGCCCTCATCCCCCACTCCCCCTGCCTAGTCACCGTACTCACAATACCTATGTGGCCGCGCTGTGTGTGCATGTGTTTGTGGTGTGTATATGTGGACGGCTTTATCGCACCGGTAGTCCCCACAGCGCGGTACGCAGGATGCCGCTTCATGCGAATCCTCAAGGCTCACCAACAGGAGTGCACTCGGCGATGGGCGAGAGTAAGCACATGGGGGGAGGGGGGGGCAGGGGGCCTGGGCGCCGTTACCGCAATGGAGGTCATGATGCAACTCCACTGATGAGATCGTATCCACGCCATGGTCTCAGCAAAAAAAAAAAAAAAAAAAAAAACGGAGAGGGAATCATTATTTTTATCTAAAATGATCCGAGTTTCATTCGCCCGCATCCGATAAAGCACAACGCTAGCTCGATGCTGTACCTGTACAAGTAGCTTAGCCTGTCAGCATCGCCCCATCCGATCATGCGTCAACATGGATATCATTTTTACGACTCCAGGACTAGGCTGGATTCGGAAATTTGTCACGTGTCTGTCTTGCAACATCCGGAAGTCGGATGGGCAATTCTCTCCGTCGTCCACGCCATGGAACAGAACAGACACTGGCTCGATCCTGCGATGCCTGGGGTCTGGACTCTGCATCATCGTGCCCACTGCCAACAACATATTGGGTAATTCGGAATTCAGAAGCCAGCTCTTCTCCCTTTTTCTCATCATCCCACCACCCTGAGCTAGCTAGGTAGGTAGGCACGGTGGATAATGGACTAGCTGTCCCATCCTCACATTTGTACCCTACACCGCACCTTCCCTCGCACCACATCGCTCCTCCCCAACATGGTAGTACTGGACCTCCCCTCCTACCCGAATCTCCCAACAACCTTTTCCCCTACACCCTGCCCATCCTGCCCATCCTAACTATCCCATCCCATCCGCCGCCCTCACAATCCCTCCCGTTTAGAATACATCATACCCTCGTCACTGACTCACCTCGCTGTCATGCGTGGAAGCACGGCTGACCAGCCTCTCGTTATACCTGCTCTGATGAGGCTGCAGATGGGGGGTGACGACGTGACGTGGATGCAGTGTAGGTAGGCTGGGCAAGGGTTAGGATCTCGGGTTCAGGGAGGGAGGGGGATGGCTGGTCTTGTTTTTTGTGTGTGTTTATGTTTGTGTTTGTGTATGTGTAGATATACATGTGTATGTGTAGATCTATGTGTGTTTCTACATGTGTCTATGTGTACATTTCGTGAACAAGGTTGATATTTACCACTTGATATGTACTACAATTACTCCTTGCTACTTGTTTTCTACACACATACACACATATGTATATACTATCGATCGTTCCGGACTATACTAGCGAACATTTGACCAGGCCACACCACACCTGCTCTACCCAGTCCTCCTCTCCCTTCCCTTGGTTCATGTAATTGGCAATTGGAAACAATATGTAGATAGAGGAGATGTAGATGTGTATATTGGTATGTGATGGATCTGGATCTGTACATATACTTCATCAATTCAATATATTTACCCTCCAATTGTGCCTTGCTAGGCCACGCGGACTCCTGCCTATGGAAAACCCCTATTTTAAGGAAAACCCTTCGTGTGCCCCAATTGGTAGGATACTTGTCCCTCCAGTCCTCCCTTACTCTTTCTGCACTCTCTACTCTGGCTCTTTATCCGGTTTTCCCCTGGGTGGTCGAGACACTTATGGGTATATGTATATATAGAGAGAGAGAGCATAGACATGGTGTAGATATATATATATATATCAGTGTTCCTGTGTTAGTGGCCTTGAAAGCATGACTTCCTGCGGAGAGTAGGAGATGTAGTAAGAGAGAGGGAGAGAGGGTAGAATAATCAGACAAGTAAATGTACAAAAGGTAAGGATAGGTAAGTTGAGTAATAGTATAGGCTAGAGACAGTACCAAGAGCTAGGAATTAGATGACAATCAATGTTATATTGGAAATAATCTTAGCATTGCTAATTAAACCATAACGTCTTCAAACAAAACTCATCCCCAGGATTATTCTCTCTAGCCATCCTCTCCTCTACTCCTCCCCCATCCCTCATCCATCCATCTAAACCTACGCACAATCAACCCATCCGCATAGCTAGTCTATAAAGATTCCAACCTCTATAACCCGCAATTCCTCCTATCATTACCACAAACCCTCTACTATACAACACACTCCCCTAGCCTAACAAAGGATCTCCAACTCTTACAACATACACATACATCTCACCCGACACGCCGTATATACAGCGAAGAAAAGGGAGAAAAGGTAAGAATGAAGGATGAAAGGGAGGGGAGTTGTGGTGTATAGCTATACTACATTCTACATCAAAACGTCAAGATTAGCAAAGTTTTATAATGCAATGTAACGGGAAATCATACACTGTACGATTGGCCAACTCTCCTATCATGTCAACTTTGTTAGCTTGCACTATGGTCTGTAAAACATAAGCGTGTGTGCGTGCGTGTGTATTGCACTGTTAGTAGTAGATGATATCAAGTGTGTGCGTGCGTGTGTATTGCACTGTTAGTAGTAGATGATATCAAGTGTGTGCGTGCGTGTGTATTGCACTGTTAGTAGTAGATGATATCAAGTGTTTGGTGCGTGTGTACATGTTTCTTTATGGTTCTGCGGGGGAAATATAAGTAGATGGGATGTCTTGATTGATTTTTGATGGGGTTTATAGGAGGGATTGCGTGCTGCGAGCTTTGGGGTGTGCTGGGCGTGGTATATCATGATAGGTTTTGATGGAGATGTATAGGTATCAAGTCGTAGAGGAGTTTTTATGGTGTTGTATATCACAAAGCTTAATTCTCTATAGCGTGTGAATATAAAAGCGAGAAAAGGAGAATAGAGAGAAAAAGAATAGGAACTGATTCATGTAGTAATACTACTCAAGCAGACATGTATCCACACCAAGGCCTCCTCTACATGGTACCATATTATCCCTCTGAAGCTGGAACTTTACCGTAATTCCCCCTACTTTTTTTGAACTGTACGGTAGTAGTACGCTCTCAAGCCCAGTCTTGACTATCCAATGGGATGGAACTTGCCCTTTCACGTCAGGCACGAAAAGCCCAAAACCTCATGGTTGGACGGAATTCATCGTGGTTGGACGAGATCATCGAAAAAAAAAGAAAAGAAAGGAGAGGTGGTACGGTAGCACCCGGCGATCGATCATGCAGCCATCTCAGGCTCGGGCAAAGGCCATGCTTATCGTTTCACAGCATCGGTATCGGCATCAGAGCCCAACGAGGGTCACACTGTGAGACGTAGAGTAGGTAGTGTAAGTAGAAGCCACGACCATGTCTCAGCACACGATTCCATGACGTCGTCGTTGCTAGATTACACAGCACGACACAAGGTCCGTCGATGTTGTCGGTAGCCGATGCTGTTGGCAAGAGATAGGCGAGCTGAGGGGGCTGCAGGCTGTCTCAGGCCTTTGGTGCTGCACCAGCTCCCTACCGGTACCTACTCTAGAGGAGCGCCGTTCTGACCCGAACGAGGCGAGTGGAGGTGGGCAGGCTGCTGGCTGCTGGCTGCTGGCTCGTCCAAGCTCTGGTAGCGAGGCTGATCGGTGAAGAATAGGATACAGCAGCAGTCAGCCGTAGAATAGGTAGTCGAGCGTCTGGATCTGGATCTACGGTACAACCAACCGTGGGGTAGGTAGGGTAGGGTGGATAGCGCTCCCGTCCAGCGAGAGCCGGCCCAAGCCAGGAAGGCACAAGACTGGGACGGGAGATCGCCGAGGCGCGCGAACCACGTTCCTCTCGTCTGACAAGCGACAACCTACGGTTTCTTCTGGACTCTGGGAGAGAGGGAGAGCGATTTGGTGGTGGGTGGAGAGGGGTTTTTTTCTTTGTTCGTGGCTCCTTCCAGGCCGGCGAGGCAGTTTGGCAGCTGCGAGGCGGGGCGGGGGGGAACACGGCGGCAGGAGAGAGATGACGCTTATCCCTGTTTGGCATGGGACAGGGGGTATGGGGGAAGGGACGGCCAACCACGAATGGATCCCATCCCATCTCGCCGTCCACTGCTTTTGCACCCACCCACACACACACACACACACACACACACACACACATACTGTGTACATTCACTTCAGCTGTTAGCTGCTGTTACTTGTCGGCCTTTCTTCTCTCTCTCCCCTCTCCCCTCCTCCCCCTCCTCCCTTCCCCATCAACAAGCTCGTCATATTCCCTCGCGCAGACGCGCTACTAGTCGACTGATTCCCACCTTTACCCGTCGTACACGCAATTGAAGAGGCGCATATTCTCTGCGGCAAGCTGTGCGGCGTGCGGCTGGCATCCTGGTCGGTCTGAGAGGTAGGTGGAGAGAAATCAGTCCACCATCGTACGATACTGTACAAGCACCAACGCTCCCACACGCAATAGCCTTTCTCGCTCGCGCAACAAACTGTAACCCCCCCCTGGCAGCGTACGACGGCCATTTGCAGGCAGAGGCAGATTGCTGCACGCCCTTTCCCCCTTCCCCCCCAACTCTGCCAGTTCGCCAGTTCGCCAGCGCTGCCCGCCTGCCGCCGCTGACCTGACTGTTGCCCATCCTGTCCTCGGATCCGGATCCGCCGCCAGCAGGTCCGCCCTGTCGAACCAGTAGTTGGTGAATGGCATGATCTGATCGCAGAAGAGCAGCAAACCGGTAAGATTATTCTGCCTTGCCTTTCCGCTCCCTCTTCTTTTTTTGTTTTCCTATTTTCTTCTCGCTGTGTTCGGTGGACTGCGCCCTGCCCCTCCCGTCACTTCTTGCTGTTGCAGTTGCAATTGCAGTCGCAGTTGCGCTTTGCAGTTGCGCCCAGCAATCGCCGCGCTCTCTCTCACACACATCTGCACACCCGCACACACACACACGCACACACACACACACACACACATGGCTTCTGACGCTTATGGCAGCCCTGATGACGGGCTGGAGCTCGAGAGAATTGCCGTGCGTGCCTGCCCAGCAGCACATGGGTCCTCCCGCTCATCTGGCTAACATTGCACCCCTCAGGTTGGCCCATACTGCATCTTTGACGACTACAAACTGCCTCCAAGCTCGCCTAGGCACCCATCGTCGATCCCAGACGCGAGCACCACCCCATCCTCTGCCAACTCCATGGACAACTCCATGTTGTCGGCAGAGTATCCTTTTGCTAACATGCGCGGCCCGTGGTTTACTACCGCTGCCGACGACATGACGCTGACTGCCCCTGCTGACGACATGTCAAACTGGAACGAGTGGATGCAGTACGACCCTGCTGCGGCGTCTCAAAATTCTCCAGGTGTCGATTCCAAGCCTGCCAATGCCCAGGGGTCTGCTTCCTTCCCCCCCTCCGGCCAGCAACAGTCACCTCAACACCCCCCCAACCAGCAACAGTCGCAGTCGAGGCAACCGCAGACCATTCCCACCACCACTTCAGCCGCCCCAATGTACACCAACTCCAACGATGGGCCATTCACCTTTGGGCAAAACGCCGACATGTCACCGGCCTTTGACTTCACTGGCACCACCTTAGGCTCACCCCTCTCTGCGGAACTTCAACAACAGCAGCAACAGCAACAGCAACAGCAACAACAACAGCAACAACAACAACAAGAACAAAATGGCTTCTATACAACACCGCCCATGTGGCAACAGCAACAACAGCTCTCCGAAAATTCCCTCTTTTCGCCAATGCAGTTTGCACAACCAGGCTTCGTCGCTGCACCTCCGTCAGCCTCAACACCAAGTCTTCACCACAGCCCCGATTCACTCAACAATGGACGCGCTAGCTCATCCTCCTCACATTCGTCACCTGAACCTGCTCCGCAAAACAAGAAGAGAAAATCACCATCCGATGACGATGAAGATGCCGACTCGGCTCCGTCCGGGAAGCGGGCCGGCCAACCACCGAAGAAGACAGCGCACAACATGATTGAGAAGCGGTATCGAAACAACTTAAACGACAAGATTGCCGCTCTTCGTGATAGTAAGTTGCCTCCCATCAAGCTTGATTCTAGGTGCTTACCACCGCGATGCAGGTGTACCGAGTCTGCGCATCATGTCTCGCCAGAACGGAACAGAGGAAGACGACGACCCAGAGGATCTCGAAGGACTTACTCCTGCACACAAGTTGAACAAAGCTACGGTTTTGTCAAAAGCGACAGAGTACATTCGACACCTGGAGAAGCGCAACAAGCGCATGCAAGATGAAATCGCAGCCCTCAGAGGACGTGTCGAGAGCTATGAGAAGATGGGCATCTCGGGGCCAATGGCGATTCACGGTCTCAGCCCTCCGGATGGCTCCAGGTACCCTGAAGATGCCTTCACCTCAGCACATGGAATGCCCATGCCGGGACCCCCCCAAGGCATGATTCCAGTTCCAGACAACATTGCGGCTCTGCAACGCGGACTCGGTCCTCAGCAACACTATGCGCATGCCTATCCACAGTATCCTGCTGGTCGTCAAGCCAATGGTGCACCCATGGTCAACGCTAGAAACCGTGGAGCCATGATGGGCAAACTCATGGTCGGATCCCTCGCTGCTCTGATGATTATCGAAGGCTTTGCTCAGAAGGAGCAATCGCAAGAGGAACCAGCTGGACGCGGACTGTTCGCCTTACCGATTCACCTCGCCAAGGTCCTGACTCCTAGTGCTTCTTTTGGCGCCAACACTGTCCAGATTCCTTTGGTGAAGCTTGTTCTCGTCTTTTTCGCCTTCTTCTACCTCATCGTCCCTCTGGCCGACCCTAAAGCCAAGACCAAACGCAAGTCTCCACCGGTACTTTTGACGCGTGCACCATCGTTGGCATCACCGGTCGAGGTTCGACAGAGAGCATGGCTTACCGCCATACAGACCGTTTGGGTGCCTCAACACAACTTTCTGGTGGAGCTTGCCGCCCTGAGTCTGAAGACACTGAAACTCAGCCTACGGAGGATGATTGGATGGCCGGGTTACGCCTACCTTACTGGCATTACGAAAGAGCAGGAAGCCGCCAGGGTCAAGGCCTGGGAAATTGCGCTCGATGCACAGCTCACCGGAGGCGACGCCGAGATTAGCAAGAGCCGACTGGTCTTGACGTTGATGGCATCAGGCACATTGCCGGATACACCGGCTCGCCTGATGCTCAAAGCATTGCATATCAGAGTCTTGCTTTGGGAGATGTCCAATTCTGAACACGGCTCTTGGTGGATGATGAACGAAATCAGCGCCAAGATGGCACGCAGTTACTGGAACATGGCACGCAGTGAGCACCGAATCGCTGCAAACATGGCATCCAGGTCGGACTGCGAAACAGCGCCTCTACCAGATCACCTCGCCGCCCTGATTGAGCGTGAGTGCGACGAAGTGCTCGTACCTGCTGTCGTGGAGCGTGTGTATAACCTCGCCTGGAACCGACCAAGCTTTGACAAGAAGATTGTCGATACTGCCATGGATGGTGTTGTCGAGGATTTCGCCATTGCATCGCCCTTGGATGCTCTCGCCGCTTGGTATTCGAGCACGGTGCTCAAGAAGGGACTGATGGGTTCTCTTGCAAACACTAGCCGCTCACCAAAGGAATCGGTGGTGTCTAGTCTGGCCCTTGCACTACAATCCGCTCCGCCGAACTCACAGGCTCAGCTACGAGCACTAGTTGCACAGGCCGTGGTATTGGAAGATGACCGTGGCCTCCGCATCGCGAGAGCGCTCGAAGCACTTCCAACCTCTCCCAAGCCTGCTGATGCTGGTTTTATCAATCTAGTTGGCAACGGCTTTGTCGCCCCAGATGTGCGACAAGCACTGACATTTGCCAAATGTCTCTTCCTCATGCAGTCATCCAATGCGCAAGGTCACCAACGAGCCATCGATGTCATCAACAAGACCTATCTGCCCGGGCGCTACACCACTCTGCTCAATTTTGTTGCTGGCTACAAGGTCTTGATTTACTTCATGCAAGATGACTCACTTCGCAGTCAAACAAGTGCAGGTCTTGAGCGTATGGCCAAGTCTCTGCGTATCTGGATTGGTCACGAGGCATGCAAGCTGTCGTCCAAGAGGACGCTTACTCGAGTAGTCCAGGCGTGTCTCGAGGCAAGCAAGACACTGGTTGGCCTAAGCGATAAGAAGGAGGAGGGAGAGATTGACGATGGCTATGTGAGCGCCAGTGTGAAAGACGATTGATTGATGACTTTGCCAAGATTCGCTTTTTCTCCTTTTTATTTCCTGACTGTTCTGTTATGACACGGTTTGTTTAGGGCATTGATATCCAGGAGATGCCCGTTTGGAGTTTTGGAGTGGGAGATGCCCCATGTTAATGGAGGCCATGTCTAGAGGGTTCTCTGTTTATATTGACACGGGATGGGAGCAAGGTGTGGAGGCTATGTGTACAGGCTTTGTTCATACTGACGCTTGTTGAAAGCAAGCAGCAACTCGAAGATGAAGGCGTGTAGATAGCTGCTGCCACTTGTTCAGTCGTGGCGTGCTGTGTGCATACTTTTACGATACCAATGCCACCAGGTGCCTCTATCATCACGAAAATGCTTGCGTAATGGCGCCACCCCTGAAAAGATCTGCTCGCTCGACGCGAAGCGCATGTGGAGATTGTCAATGTAGATTACGCCGAAGCTGACTCGTTGCACCGGAGACTTTTGAGGAGGCGATGACTATGTACACGGTACGACTACTAGGTAGGTAGTCGTCGTCGTCGTCGTCGTCGTCGTCGGAAAAAGTGTAATGACATCATGAGCTGATGGGCCATCTCAAGGCACTGTTAATGTTCCGAGTAACAAGTGACACGTGTGCATACAACAGGGTGAGTGTGGTAATGGATGGAGACTTGCTTCAGTGTCTTCATAGTCCCTCCTTGTTCTTGGGTTATTTGAAATATGCGGTCTGAGACTCTGAGAGGGGGTTTTGGTATACGGTGGGAAGGGACCGCATGTTGGCTGGAGGAGGTGACAAGCTCCTTCCAGAAGCCATTTCGGCAGCCTTGGCTACCAGGATTCGGGGTTCATGTCGGGGCCCGTCGGTTGCGGCCGCGCTGCCGAGCTTGGGCATGGATGTTTGGAAACTGACGTGCATCAACTTTTGAAGAACAGCAAAGGGCGTCGAGGAAACCCCCGCCGAGAAGAATAGTCCAAAGAGCACACAATCGCTCCGTTAATCCTCACAGCTTTCTACAGACGCCGCCATTGCTAGCTGCCTCACTTACGCATCTGCACGCTTGACGTGGGCGCCCGAACCTCCGCGCTGTTCGTCGCTTTCCCGCGGGCACTGCTTCGTCAGACCTCGCACACATCTGCGCACACCCACCTCACACCCCCCCCCCCTTCCTCCCTCTCGGACTATCATGTCGCCCCCATTGTAGGCAGACCCCCGAGTATGTCCAGCACGCCTCCTTCCATCTACCACGGGCACGTCGCGTGCACACACCATCACACCACGCAGTAGCCCCCGCCGACACGGTCAATGGCATACGGCTGAGCGACCATGGCCTTGCCCACATTCCAGTTCCTCGCGGGACTCCTGCTACTGCTGTACCTCCTCTCCTTTGTCCTTTTCGCCTTCATACGTGTTGTCACCGGCGTGTCCATTCAGCGACTTGGCTATGCTGGACTGCGGCGCATCGCCTTCACCCCCAAGGATGGCCTGCGCATCGAAATTCGCGGACTCGGCTTCTCCCTGCATCGACCCACCTTCGCCCAGCCGACCTGGCTGAGCATCGTCTTGACCGAACTCAAGGTCACCGTTGACCTCAAAACACTAGGAGAGAAGCCACGTAAGAAGTCTGGCTGGACACATTGGGCGAATGGCACGTCGCAAAGGGGGCCGAGCGGGACAGCTACACCTGAAGTGGGGATGCGAGATGACGACGAGACGAGCGACGAGGAACAACAGCGCACTCGGACATGGAAGCGGCTGACGGATGCAAAGGAGAAGATAAAGCGCCTCCATGGAAGGATCAAGTGGCTGCAGCAGGTCGATGTGGTCGCACATGGGACGACACTGGCCATAGTCGATGTCGGCTCTCTGCAAATCGGCGGCTTGAATGTCGCTGTGGACACGAGACGCAAGACCGTGGACCGCAGCCGTCTCTTCAACCACCACAAGCCCAAGCCGGACCAGGAGCAGCGGCCTGCCGAGTGGCTTTTCTCCGCCCGCAGCATCTTCTTCACCCCCGAGGGTCGGGAATCAACCGAGCTACTGGATCACTGCACCCTCAACATACACGGCTTCCTCAAAAAGGAGCTCGAGGGCTTGCGTGATGCCTCCATTGCCCTCAAGTTAGGGCGTCTGAGCATACCTTACGACGATGTCAAGCTCTGCATGGAGCGTGCTCAGAATCGTGCAGCCATAGCACGCAAGCCATCACACTCCCGAAGCCGATCGGACGTATCACTTCAGGCTTTGATAGAAGAACTCGACCATCCAGGAAGTCGGGAGGATAATATTGTTCGCACCGTGTCTGACTCTCGCGAGTTCGCCAGCTCCATTCTGCGTGGTATCCACGAGTTCCAATTTGCCATTGGCTTCCTTGGGCTCACCAAACGGATTCAGTCGGGTCAGGATGCAGAGCCACCGGTCTACCTCAATGTATCGATGAAAGAAGTGGGCATGGATCTGCTTCGTCTCGACCCTCGCAGCCCTGCGCACTTGATGTACTTTTCCCCCAATGATATTGCGCACCAAGCCTTATTAGCAGCTATTTCTATATCAGTCGGCATTGACGATGGTCAAGGTCATCCAGAGCGCCTCCTTTATGTGCCCATGGCTACCACTACACTCAATACAACCCTGCCTTCGAAGACCATTCACTTTTCCAACGATAGAAACAGCGCTGACCGAAACACAAACATTCTTTTTGCTAATTTGGTCATTACATCTCCGTCGATGGACCTTGATCCCAAGCATGTGCCACTCCTACTCGCCATGCTCCAAAACCGTCAGACAGATAGCAAGCCGAGCAAAGCCCGACACCATAAGCGATACCTCATCCGTCGACTGTTGCCAAAAGCGAATATCAAGATTTCCATCCACGAGCCTGTTATCCGCATTACATTACCTCCCATGGACGCCGAGAGAAAGGAAACGGATGAATTCGATTTGCTGATCGCTGCGTCGTCGTCTTTGTCTCTTGACATGGAGTCTTCACATGCAGCAGATGGGGAACTCCACTATGCGCTCAGCTCAACCTTTCGAGCGAATGCCCAGCAACTATACTATCAAACAGCGTCCATTGAAAGGCATAATTTGCTGCTCACTGATTATCTCGAGTTCAAAGTCCAATTAAGCGCAGCTCCGGAACCCGTGGTGGAAGTACGAGGAACGGCGCAGACCTTCTCACTGAACCTTGTCCGTCCAGAGATTAGTGAAGGAGTTCGCCAGATTGTCACACAAATGCAAAAGAGTAGGAGCAAAAAGCGTGGTGTGCCAAAGAAGAAGGAGGGTAATTTCCTGCGTAGGCTCCCGACATGGCTTACCTACATTCATCTCCAAGGTTCAGACTTTGATCTCGAGGTGGCGGGCGTGGATCCTGCTGTTTCACAGCACAGTCGCGGGCTAGCGCTACACCTTGAGTCCATGACGGCTGAATACAAACAGAGTCGAGAGGATGAGAGTGAGCAGAAGCCAATGCGACGACGTGTGCCAAGCAGAACAATCAACAGAGAAGAGCACCTCTTGCGATCTTCCACTCCATCGTCCCCCAAATCACCCAGAAACGGGCCAGTGAACGAAGGCGATGGTCGACGTCTTGCCATGCACTTTCATGGACTCGAAGCTGTCGTGATTGAGGGTCATGACCAATCGGAGCAAGAACCCACGCTATCCTTGCCGCGCATGGAGATTGCTCTCTCGACACTGTCAGACAAACAAGGTCCAATATTCCATATCCACTCTTTCAGCCAGAGCTTATTCCTTCGATACTCACTGTACCGCCATTTCGCCCTGGGAATGGCGATACAAGTCCTGGCACGATCGTTTGATTTTCAATTGGGACCGTCTGCACCCGTACCACCTCAATCTCCAACCTCACCACACCACCTGTCTGTCCCGTCTCTCGATGACGCACATATTGACACGCTAACTGGATTGAAACCTGAGGTCGTCACAATCGACGTCAAAGCACATTTTGTGCAGATCAAGGCCGACATGCCTGCCGACCCGCCTCTGATGATTCAAATATACGCACTGGAGGCCGGGCGGCATCGATGGGCAAGTCCGTTCCTTCGTTCGAGGTTGGTGCGCTTGTATGCCGAAAGCCCAAGCATCAAGCGTGTCTGGTGCCGTATTGTAAGTGTCAAGTCTCTGCGTTTGGACTATAGGCAGTCCAAGCGGAGATATGGACATACTATCACGAATGAGAAGTCTTTTGATATCGCGACAGACGCCATCCGCATTGCCGTGCCCCATCAACTGGTCACGCACAAGATCTTTGACAACATTGCAAATGTCACAAAGACAATCAAGCAGGTTCGACATCGATACGAAACCGGGACTGACGAATACATCCTGGACAAGGCGCCAGAGGGTCCCAAGCAGGTTCCAAAGATTTCACTACGAAGTCGAGCTGTGCTCTTTGAGCTGGAAGATAATTCTTTTGAGTGGAAGTTGGGTACAATTTACCGGATCGGCCTCATGGAGCAGAAGCAGAGACTTGCGCGCGAGCACGCATTCGATTTGAAAGTCAAGAAGATGCAACAGCAACAAGATGATCGTGGCAACTCACGCCGTGCGAGATCTGCGCATGGCTCTGCTTATGAGTCTCGACTTCGCGGAAAAGCAAAGAAGAGGGAGAAGGAGCTACGGTTCCACCGCCGCAGTAAAAGCACTGATTCCAGTGGCCTGGGTTCGCCGACCCGAGGTCGATCAGAGCATCCCATGAGGTACGACAAGGACGGCTTCAGTGGTCTCAGCGGGGCCTATCAGACGTCCATTGAAGAAGCTCGCGAGAAGCTAAATCGTTTGAATGCTCAAACGTGGAAAAAGCGTATTGATCATGCCATGCATACGCAGAACACTTCGATCAATGATATTCGCTCCATGTTCTGGGGTCTCGACGAATTGCCAGATGACGTTGAGCAAAAGGAGACGATACTGGCTATCCCACAGCGTCCGGCGTTGATGGCGCTTGCGGTCAGCGACTTGGACATTGTCATCGATAAACCTTCGTTCCCAATATCGGAGTATCCGCGATTTCTGCAGCGGGTGGGGAAGGGCATGCCGCTTGACACGCAGTATGCTCTTTTGATTCCCATGCATGTTCAAATACAGATGGGAGAGGCCAAGGTCCAGCTGCGAGACTATCCACTACCACTCTTGCATTTCCCAGCTATTGGTAGTATACAATCATCGCGACTACCGAGTGTGTCGATGAGGACCGATTTTGTCATTGCAGAAGAGTATAGGGACATTGAGTCTTCGAGAATAAGTCGGGTGGTGGTTGTACCACCCGAGCAGACCTCATCAGGCGAGCTTACTGGCGGCTACGTGGTTGACGTCCGCCGAACGGTGGCACCTGTGAAGACGTACTCTGACATGGCTATTGACATTAATTCAGCACACCCGACCAGGATCACATGGGGCACATCTTATCAGCCCGCGATACAAGATATGATGCAGATCATTGAGAACTTTACAAAACCTGCGATTGATCCTTCGGAGCGAGTGGGTTTCTGGGACAAGATTCGGTTGACGTTCCACTCGAGAATCAACGTGTCGTGGAAAGGAGATGGCGATGTCCATCTCATTCTCAAAGGTAGAGAGGTGCTCCATACTTCAGCCTAAACACTAGCTGACTTTATAGGTTCCCGCGATCCGTACATGGTCACAGGCCATGGTGCTGGATTCGTCATGTGCTGGCAAAACGACGTCCAGCTTAGCATTGCAGAGGACGATGATCCAAAGAATTTCATGATTGTGAAGAGTGGAAGCTACGTGCTGGCCATTCCAGATCTGAACAGCTACGCACGACAGGAAATCGATGCAGACGTCACCGCTCGCCCAGAAACGTCGTCTAGTGACTCTAGCCGTAGGCAGCTTGCGGCGTTTAAGAAGACGGTCATGAAGCTGAACGGCAATGTGCGTTGGGGTGTTGGACTC